TTGTGGGAGTGAGGGCAGGTCATGCATAATCAAAGAGTAAAATACAAGCAGAAAGAAAATGTAGAGAATCTGAGCTCCATTTCTGTATGAAATGAAATTACCATCATTATCATTTCCTTGTACCACACAAAGGCCTTACTGTAGAGAGTGTCATCCATATTTAGGGGCTTTTTGAGAGATTCAAGTGATCCCTATCTAAGCAGATGGTACAGTGTCTTATGAACTGAACATCAAAAATTTAGGCAGGCTTTCCTCTCTTCAGCCCTTGGGAAGAGGCACAGAGAGATGAAATGACTTTCCAGAAGATATTGTGGTAGACCTGGAAGCAGAACCCACTGACCTGAATCACAGCTCAGGGCCTGAACTGAAAAGATTTACACCTTCTGTTATAAGACAAGAGTTCAATAAAAAGTGCAAATTAAGAAAATTTTATGCAGGCTCTGTAGCTAGAATTAGACATTGATGTGTGTGGGTGCGTGTGAAACTGCGAACTTATGACTCTTTTTCAGCTGTATGACCAAAAGGTTGGGATGCAAATGTTATTTATACACAGAGCCAATGACTACCTTAAGCCCTGACATTACATGTCAAGGTTAGCAGGGGTGTATAACCTGTACTTTGTCCCTCCCAAGCTCTGCCCTCCCCATGGTGAAGTGGCAGCTATACCTTCTATTGTTTAGGGGTAGCTGGGAAGTTTCATTCAGCCTCCACTTTGTAAATACTATACAGAGTGCAACTCAAATAGTTGCAAATCAAATCCCCATTAGTACCACTGACCTCATTCTTTACCTGGAACAATTCTCTCCAGAGATCAGTAATTTAAGTATATCTATCCTTGATAACCCAGTAGGCCTGAAAATGAAATAGCTTCTCTAATGTAAGCAACAAGAATCAATAACCATTAAGCACATAAGGACACTTTATTGTCTGAAGCATATGGGTATACAAGTCATGCCATCACTAGACCAGTTCTTTTTGGTAATTTGTATGCACCAAGGACAAGCAGAGTTGTGGTCCTTGCAGAGCACATTGAATGGGGCATGTACTTAAGATGTAGCTCTGTAAATGAGACTTCCCTGGGAAAGAAAAATTGAGTGGAGAGTTTTGCCCAATGTGTGCATGCAGAATATATTAAGGGTTAGATTTGTGGAACAAAACAATTGAATTAGCTGTGGCCAAAACAATGTATTTTTTTCTCCATGTATCAGAAAACCTTAAATAACTATTGCTGTCAAAGTGCAATGAAGCTAAGATCTCTCATTTGCAGATTCAGCATATTCACCAGGAATTGGGGAGGTCAGGAAATGAGGGAGTTGTTCCACAGAAATACAGAATCACAGGATCACAGAATTGTTAGGGTTGGAAGGGACCCTAAGGGGATCATCTAGCCCAAACCCCCTTCAAGGCACCTGAGGGGTCACCTAAAGCAAGGCACACATCCAGATGGGTTTTGAATATCTCCAGAGAGGGAGAATCCTGTTCCAGTGCTCTGCCACTCTCAACATGAAGTTCTTCCTCATGTTGAAATGGAACTTATTATGTTTTAGTTTATGTCTGTTAATCCTTGCCCTGTTTCTGGGCACCACTGAAAAAAGCCTGGCACCATCTTTGTGGCACTTGCCTTTTTATATGTATTGATAAGATTCCCCCTCAGTCTTTTTTCTAGACTAGACAGGCCCAACTCCCTCAGTCTCTCTTCATAAGACATGGTCCAGACTGCTAATCATATTTGTGGCCCTCCACTGGACCATTTCCAGTAGTTCCTTGTCTTGCTTGAACTGTGGAGACTGGAATTGAACATAATACTCCAGATGTGGCCTCACTAGGGCCAATTAGAGGGGGAGGATCACCTCTTTCTACCTGCTGGCTACACTTCCTGATGCACCCCAGGATGTCACTGGCCCAGACATAAATGTGCATTATATAGTAGGTTTTCACATCTGTGATACAAAGATTGATCTACTGATAAACTCTACAGAGATTGTAGTCTTCTGCCAGCACTCAATGCACAGTGCTCTGTCTCATGGGAGAAAGGAATGGTTGTGGCTACTTTGCTATGCCTGTTAACACTGAGGGTTATTCCAGACCTGCTGTGCATGCATAAATGCTAAATACCCAAATTTGGATGATCTTTTATGTATCATAGGATTTTTTCCACACATTAGTCCTTAAATAATTTTTGCCCATTTTGAAGTTCTTCTTCTAGTCACTCAACAGAGTTGACAGCAGCAGCAGCAACCCTGGATGTACTTACAGCCTAGGCAATAAGAAGCTGGAAAGTAGTGCTGTGGAAAGGGATCTGAGGGTCCATGTTGATGACAAGTAGAACATGAGCCAACAGTGTGCCCTGGCATTCAGGAGGGCCAACTGTGGGGTGCATCAGGCAAGACATGGCCAGTGGGTTGAGGGAGGTGACTGTCCTGTTCTACTCTGTGCTGGTCTGGTCTCACCCTCAAGTCCTGTGCGCAGTTTTGGGGACCACAATATAAGAAAGATATTAAGTTAGTAGAGAACATCAAAAGGAGGGCAATGAAGGTGGTGAAGGGCCTGCTGGAAAAAATTAGCAGCAGCATTTGTATGGTGCACAACCCAGTGCTGTTTGCTTCTAGGACATGTCCCTCTGGGGAGAGAAGTTCTCTCAGAGACTACGAGTATTCTGCACTTTGTCAGCAGAATATGAGTATTCTGCACCTTGTCAGCAAAATATCTGTTTACAGTCCTTGAAATATTCCACAGACCACCTTGAGACTCACTTTTTGCAAGGTATAAACCATGGGGTTTATTATTATTTGTCATATTCTTGTCACTAAGTAATCCACAGTAAATATCACACCTATGCGAAGCCTAAACTTCTTTAGTTGCATTCTTTGTGAACTTACTGTATGCATGCTGTACAAAATGCACTCAATACAATATTTCCAAAGACTAATATAAGTAGTCCTCTATAAAGTTGGATGTCTTTGCAATTTTTTATCTGTAGGCAGTAGAAAGCATCCTTAAAAACATGCTGCAGTGCCACCAGTCCGTGAAAAAGCCAAGATCAACATTAGGTTCATCATTGTCATGCATATACAGAAATACAAATAGAAAACAAGTAACCAATTTGTAGGTTGTGATTTATAGTTTTACAGTTAAAGTACAAGATCCATTTAAGTGCCCATAAAAGAAATTTGAGGGAAAAGATTAATTTCTTTCTACTAACTGGAGATAAATCTGATCTAATACTTGGATTACTTGAAGCTAGTTTACTGGAAACCAAACAGTATTTGATCTTTTTACTTTGTGTTATATGTCACTGAGCAGTACCAGGTAATTCCTCTGTTTCTCATCACATTTAATATTATAGCGAATTTACACCAGCATTTCTATTAGAAAAAGAACCCCATGCTCACATTGGAGATGTGAAAATGATGTAAACAGTAGTCAAGCACCAGATTTGGAAAACTGACAGTTATACTGTGCAGCTCTTCACCTATGATAATCACATTTAGAGTAACAGGAATGGAAATATAACACAGACAGAGCTGGCTATAGATAGTGGATTGCTAATGGTTTCTTATTTTGAAACACTACCCTGACTTGCACAGAATGAGCTTATCCTAAAGCACAGATCTATTTAAACACAGACACACAAAAAACCTTGTTGCATCAGGAACAGAATTGAGCTTGAACTATATAGTCCTTGTGTTTCTTGTTCATCTTTCAGCAAATTAAAAAACAAAAAACCAAAACCAAAACCCACAAAAAAAGAAAGACAGGAAAATATGCTCGGTTACCTCCTTTTGAAGGCTTGAGGATAGGAAGGTTCTACAGAGGCATCTAGACAGGTTGGATCAATGGGCCAGGGCCAGTTGTATGAGGTTTAACAAGGCCTGAGTCCTGCACTTGGGTCACAATATCCCCATGAAGTGCTACAGGCTTGGGGCAGAGTGGCTGGAAAGCTGTGTGGCAGAAAAGGACCTGAGGGTGCTGGTTGACTGCAGGTGAACATGAACCGGCAGTGAGCCCAGGGGGCCAAGGTGGCCAATAACATCCTAGCCTGTATCAGGTGGAAAGTTTAGGCTGGATATTAAGAAAAAATTCTTCACCAAAGGGCTATCAAGCATTGCAACAGGCTGCCTGGAGCAATGGTGGAGTCACCTTCCCTGGAGGTATTTGAAAGACATGTAGATGTGGCACTTAGAGATGTGGTGTAGTGTTGGACTTGGCAGTGCTGAGTAAAGGGTTGGACTTGATGGTCTTATAGGTCTTTTCCAACCAAAATAAATCTGTGAGGCTATAACTCCATGAGTTAAACTTGAGTGATAACAAATGCTGGGGCATAAACAGATGGAAAAGCTGTTCACTTTTTGGATAGCTGGGAGCCACAGTATATATTGTTCCCTCAAAACAAGTGGTTTTCATTCCTTATTTTTCTGCAGTGTAACAGTGGATTCTTATGCTCTTGAAAAAAGATTTAAGATTTCTGGTTTTGATGTTCATACAAGTGCAACTTTATTTTTTTTTTAAATTTTTTGATTTTAAACCTCTCCTGTTGTATTCCAGTGTCTATTGATTAATAAGATTACAGACAAATTGATGAGATTTGAGTCTCATGAACTGATCAGTAAATCTATTTTTACTGTTGGGTTTTCTTCTGTATGAAGTTTGGCTTTCACAGCAGTAGCTGTAACAACGTATTATGTCACAACTTGTATACTACAGTGTAATTTGAATGGAACCTGCTATAAATAGTTTGTGGCATGGCCAATGGTCAAAATGGAAGCCAGGAGAAGACAGTGTGTCATGTCAGCAGTTCTTACAGCAACGATAAATATGTATGCTGGAGCTTTTTGCTTCCAGGTATCTTGAACCAGCTGAAAGGCAATGGAGATTCATAGCAAAACTTAAAGCCAGGGTTTGTGAGTGAATGCCATAACACTCCACTATTCTGGTAATAACATTCTGCAAGAAGAAATCCAGAAAAGGTGGTGGAAGTGAAGTTATCTGTAAACACTTACTGCAAGGAAGATCTGAAGGGAACTGTGAGCCACTTCTATGTACTGATATTCAAGAAAACACCCCGAGACAGTGATATAACGATGATCCTCTGGTGCCCAGTCTGGTGCTGGGGTTACTGAGGTCACGGTGCAGCCTGGCCCGTTCTCCATCCACCAAGAACGATGCATTGAAATATTAAAGGTCAGAATGAGATCTGTTTCCTGCAAAAGAACAAGTGAAGAATTAATGCTTGGGGATGGTACCCTGGTATCAAATGCCTCAGCAAGAGATTTCACAGCATGCATTAAGAAACAAAGAGCAGTGATAAATCTGCACTGTCACATGAAAGTTAGTGGAACTTGCCTGCTGCAAGCAGAAGTAGCTGTACCTTGACAGGCAGAAATGCTTTGGAGCAGGAAAATAATCCTGCAAGCCAGGATCTGTTCCTAGACATTATGGTAGGCTAGACTACAGCAGTCATTTCTGTAGCATTGCCCATTTGCCTGCAGATATCATAAGGATTGATGCATTTACACAGCAACCCTCCTCTGCTCAGTTCCTAGAAATATGTCCCATATTATGTTGGTCTGATGTACCAAACTATATGACACTCCTCAGGAATTAAGACTTCATAGACTTTAACATGCACAGGTCATCTGCAAGGTATTTTTTCTCAGGACCCTGTGAAGGAAACCTGTGGTAGCTCTACTGAAATATTGGAGAAGATGTAAAAAAAAAAAGATCCTGTGCTTTTACCGACAGGCAAAACCTTTTGCAGTGCCTCTCTCAGATTTCTAATTTCCTGTATGGAAATAGCTAGTGAATGTTGCCTTGTCTAAAGATTGCTTGGCTTGTTAAACAGGAGAGGCAGAGGCACGCAACCTTTAACTTCCATACAACTAGTGTGATGGAGTAACTAGTCAGCCATGCTTTCCATTAAGATTGCATTTATAAATAGTTCATAAAGGATTAATAAATGATTAATATACATCATAAACAATACTACGGATATGACTTTCATAAATTATACTTGGTTGCACTTTGCTTGAGGGTGTTGCCCATAGTTATAACAAAACTATGGACTCTGTGGATTCTGTAATAGTCTACAGTGTTTACCAACACTTTATAAATAATTTATAAGCTTAACCTCATTGTAAAGTGTGACTATCTAGTCTGTGTGCACATGTGCTCAGTCATGCAAAAAAAATTGCTTTTAAGTAATGTCTTTGCAGAGCCAAATTCTCCCCACACCTAACCTACATTTTTTTTCAGCCTGTTGATGCCATTAATAATTAAGATTCTCATAAAGATTTAAAAATGTAACTATTTAATTACGTTCACCATGCCAAAAGGAATAGAATGCCATTCCGTTGCAGTTAAGTTGTGTCCACATTTCCCTCCCTAGAAAATAATAATTTTTTCAGTCCCACTTTTTTTTCCCTTTTTGTACTAACTCATCAAAAGGTAACTCCATTCAGAGAGGTTTTGGATAATGGCATATGTCACATTGATCCATGCTTACTCTTGACACAGCAGTATAGCTGAATGTTTTTCATCTAAGTTGCAGTTCTTCACCAAAAGTGTAGAAATTTTGTACATGAAAAAATATCAATTACTAGCCTGCATAAGTATACACAGCTATCAGATGGCAGGAAGGACCTTAAATATGCTTGCAATGAATAATTACACTCCACTCTCACAACAGTCCACACCAGCAAATAAGCTGTTTGAGCAAATGTGTAATGCCTTACACGAATTTAGTCATGTAACTAACTTCAAGCCAGTGAAAGTGAAGAAAGCAACAGTGAACATTTGTACAAACTACGCAAATTTTCCCCAAATACATATCTACACACGTATGGCTGTAAGTCTTCATCCTCAACAAACATCTCATTTCTCTGGACCTCTCCCTACCAAAACTGTAGACACTGGAAAGTGTCTGCCAGGTGTTTCTTGGAAATGGGCATTTCTATCTTACATCCAAGCCAGAAGACTATTTTTCTTTCTGGAGCCAGGGCTGTTACATCCCCTCAAGTAGAACACTGGTCTCACCTGCTATAACAAGTTGAAGAATGAGCATCTTTGGAGCAACTTTGCTTAAAGTAATAGATTTATTCCTGAAAGACTAAAATTGGAATCTATCATGTTATTGTCAGAAGAACTTTCAGTCGTTCTAGTTACCATGGAAAACTCTTAACATCTAGTCTCTTCAGAGATGCAGCACAAATGAATAGGACTCATTGTCTGCCTCAATTTTATCATTTGCAATACCTTCAGAAGAATCATGATGGGCTAGAAATATTTTACAAAGTGCAGACAAGGGATGAAAAATGTATTCCTTGAAAAAGAAAAGATAAACTGGCATGCAGGAACTAAGTATTTGTTATTCATCTGCCAGATGAAGTTAAAACGGATCAGGAGAAGCTAAACATAAAAATCAAAACTAGGCTCTGTGCTAAGAACATCACTGCTCTAGAAGTACCTATGTTTGCTTACAAAGGGTGCAGTAATCCAAAACTTTATGGGTTAAAAGCACAGGTAAATTTCCAAGTTTCATGGGGAATATAATCACAAATGAAAATATTTATAATTGCATATGTAAACAAAACTTTAGAAAATCCAGCTTTCTTCCATCCCTGAATTTATGCCCAGATGATTTTCTGAAATAATTTGTTACATTTCTTTGTTGATTTGGGGGCAAAATTCCTTTGCCCTCAAATAATCTTTTGGCAGTTAAGATGAATGCTGTGATTAGGACTTAATAATCTTGTTTTGTTCAGGAATAGCCTTTGAGTGCTTGCCAGAAAAAAAATTACAGGTCTTTAAGAGATCTATATTCTGCTTCTTTCCCCGAATGATCAGTAAAATGCTGTGTTGTTTCCTTTGGTCATAAAATAGATCTAATACCTGGCACAGAAATGTTATATTCCTGAATTCTTTATAATAATAATAAAAACAAATAAATCCTACTGAAAGCCCAAACTTCAAATCTTAAAGAACTTTGAATAATGTGGTTGAGAAGGCTTTCAAGGAGCAGTTATTACATATTGAACCAGTTAACAAAAAAAGGGTCAAGCTCAGAAAGCAAAGCAATAAGCAGACATGAAATCTGGTTCTGGTAAGATTAAACATCATCCGTGGCTCAGGTCCAACAGGGATGGAATAAGAATGATAATGAAACCAGATTTTGACAAGTCAACATAAGTTAGACCCTGTAAATTCCTATCCCCAAAATATGTGGGATAAGACTCTATATAGAAGAAGCCTACTACAAAGTTAGCTGCTGCACAGTTAAATCTTCTCTGGTATAAATTGTTACGTGCTTCGAACTTGACTACAACCTTCAAGCCATGTTCCTCTATATGCAACCATATTAGCACAGCAGTTCCTGTTGCTCAGTATTGAAGGTCACCCAGCTTGCAAAAAAGTTTCCCTTAGTGAGAAAACTGTTAAGGACTTGAATCCCCTTGTAGGACTGTGGAAGCCAAGGAGGGGATGATGTATCTATCATTAACATCTCTTATACTAACAGAATTTAGAGCTATTTTTGGACAAACACCACTTGTTATTTACTTTGTTCACTGTTTGAATACAGTTTTAGTGGACACAGACAAAGCCTACAGTGGGAGCTGGGGATTTATTATACTCTCCAGTGTATTTGCCGTCTGTTTTCTTTCTAACATCTGTGGCTCAAACTTTATTCAGGGAAATGCAGAGAAATGGTCTGATAAGCCTTGAAGCTATGAAAGCTAACAGGAATTGTTGATACACATTGGGCAAGCCAATATGTTGTTGTTCACAGTCTGTATGTCAAGGAAGATTTCATTATCCTAAATGCAACAAACAGCTGCTTCCTTCATAGACACAGAAATACATCTGTATGAGCTTTATTGATGAACACTGTGCTGCTTTTGTAAATTCTGCTGGTATTTCTAAAGCTTGTTAATGAAAATTGGTGCATTAAACTAGATTTTGTTATTCATCAAGGAGGAAAAACAACCAGAGGCAAATATTTAGTAGGACATCTTTGCTGATATTGTGAAGATGTGCTGGTATTTGTAGTGGTCAGGAGAAGCACTGCCAGATTAGGCAAAGGTTGGAATTTAGAGGTCTCAGAGACAAGGAGATGAGATATCTTCAAATTAAGGAAATTAAGGAAAATGTTACTTCACCTTAATTTGGAAAAAATGTTGAGCTCTGATAGTTTTGTGCCTGTGTTTAATACAGTGGATAATAACTTTTGCTGGGGTTAATATATAACATTTTCTGGCTAAGGACAGCTGATGACAGAACATGGCAGCCGAAAGTTTGGTAAGAGCTTCCAGAAGAAGAATACAACCATCTTTGTATTAAGAAAAAGCAGGAGGACAGCAGCACTTAGAAGGAAGAGAGGCCTGTGAGCATTGTATTAGTATTGGCACATATTAGTAAGTGTACTATCTCTATGTAGTAATTTCACTATATTATAGTTTCAATGACTTTTATTGGGTACACTTTAAAGAAGCTGATTCCAAACAGTGCCATGAGAAAAAAGAGGCAGTAGTGGTTCAGGGTGATTCTCCTTGAAAGTCCAGGAGATCTCATAGCCTCAGGGAAGTATAATTGTACTGACGTCAGTGGTTGTGGCTTGCTGTGTCATGGGAAATAAGTTACTTCCGTTTTTCTAATTAGGAATTGCTGAAATCTGTGAAAAGCTTCTATACAACTTTTGTCAAATGCAACCATGTAACCACTTGTTTCATTTATCAAATTCGAACTAGCAAGGAGAGGCTTCTTGGAGACTGAACAATCACACAAAGTTTCAGTGATAAAAGATCAGGGCTTGAAAGCATTTGTAGTTCTAGATGCCTCAGATGCACAGAGGCCTCTACAGGCATTTTTTCTTCTGTTATCTCACTTTTCCACTAAAACCAACTCCCACCAGGCAGTACCATTTTCTCATGCAAGCAGACCTTTTCATGTCTAAAGAAAAATCTGTCCTCACTAAAGAGCCAAAACAGAGCTTGTCAGCTGTGAGTTTTTTTCTTTTTTCTTTTTTTTTTTTTTTTTTAAATCCACAGATGACATACAGGAAATAATTATTGCATAATTGTGTAGGGATCATGGATATTTAAATTTCATGATCTTTTTTATCCTGCTGCATCTGTACTGAATTTTAAGCCTCCTCAGTTTTTCTCTGTGTGATGTTTTGCCTTTCATTTGATTTTTTTTCTAGCAACCTAG